GTATTAATATTCATAATTTAATAATTCAGCATCCTGGCCATCTGGTCGGGGAGCAGGCTCCCACCCCTCCCTGGGTCCCAGCCGAAACATCACCCCCGCCCCGCCGGGCACCCCCAGGCCTGGCTGCCCGGCCCCGCACCCGCCCGCCGTCCAGCCCCGTGCCCGCCGCCCCTGCCCAGGTTCAGGCCCCGGCCCCGGTGGCCCCGGGCGGCTGGCCCCGCGGGGCCCATGCCCAGGTCCGGCAGTGCCCAGGCCGGCCCCCGCTCCCCACCCCCGCCTGGCAGGTGAGCGGAGCTGAATTGACATTTTCCACACTTTGTGAGTTTTACACTGTAATTTGACATAATTAATGCCTACATTACTGCTGATAATTTAGCTAGTTAATTAAACTCGGAGGAGATAATTAAGGAAAGGCTACTGCTTGGATTGCTAATTGTTTTTGTCATTATTTCAGGGGGCCGACAGCTGCCGGCTGAGTCATCCTGTTTTGTCAGCTGACGGGTCATGTGACACGGGGGTCCCTGGGGCCCCCCCGCTTCCAGGGGAGGGAGGCTGGCATCCAGCTACCTGGCTGCTGCCTGAAGCCCCCTCCCCAAGCCTGCCGAGGGCTGGTCCAGCCCCCACTCCTCCCCAGCCCCTCCCCCGCCCCCCCAGCAGTGACAGCCCCCCCCCCAGAGGACAGCTCTTGTTGTCCGACCGTCTGAGAGCGCCCTGGCCTGGGGTCACACCAAGTGCAGCCCAAGCGCGCTGGGGGGGGCGCCCCACTGAAGCCCAGGGGGTGCTGTGACCCCTGGTGACGCCTGGTCTCCTGAGTGGTCAGACATGGGATGGGACTTCCCAGCCTGGGGGAAGCTGGAACGGCAGGGAGACTGCGCAGCAGCAGGAGGAGGAGGGAGAGATGGGGGGCTGTGCTCCCCAAGATCTTCAGTGGTTTGGAGGAGCTCTCCCTGGAGAGACCACACACACAGCTGGCCGGGTGAGGGAGCCGCGGGTGCCAGGCGGGGGGCCCTCCCCAGACTGGCCATCAGTCACAGCTGGTGACAGCGCCGTCACAGACAGAGCCGGCCACACGCGGCCCCACCACCTGGGCCCGTCAGGCTGACTGTGCGCGTTCCCCGACCAGGAGACCAGGGCCCTGCCCAAGGGCCCACAACCCACCGAGGGGGCCCTGGCGGAGGGCTGGGACGGGGTGGGGCGCGAGCCCGGGGCCCCCTCGTCCTAGACAGGGGCTGGGACGCATGACGGCGTGGCCAGGGTCAGGTCCTGGTCTCTGAGCAGCCCGGCCCGGCTGGGGCAGGGATCGGTGAGGAGAAAGGGCCGCCTGCTTGTGCACCTGTACACAATCGAGGTGCTCGCCGTGGCTGTCCGGTCAGTCAGGTCACAGAGGCTCACACTGTCCTGCTGGGTTGTCCCTCTGGACAAGAAGCCCACAGGCAGGAAGGTTCTAGAACGGCCAATTCGGGGCTCAGTAACATCCACAGGACATCAGCCCCCCCCAGGAGCCTTCCCGGTTCCCGTCCCGCCAGTCCCTGTGAGGTGGCCATGCTGCCCCCACGGTCCCCAGCTGGCCACGGTGGCGCCAGGCTCCCAGTCCCGGCGGGCAGCAACCACCGTGTGTCACGCGGGGGGTGGGGCCTCACTGCCTGGCGCCCCGCCACCCCCGCTCCGCAGGTCCACGGGCTAGCTGCTGTCCCTCGTCACCCCCACTCCCTGCAGGAGCCGAAGCCCAGGCCGCCTGGACGCTTCGGTCCACGAATGTCGGCAAACCTGAGGAAGTACGTAACCCAGAGGGGCGCGGCCGCCCCTGCGGAGCGGGTCGGGAGGTGCCCCCAGACCCCACGTCCACCCAGAGCCTCACCATGTGGCCTTGTTGGCCGACAGGTCTTTGCAGAGGACCACGCGGAGAGGGGGCCCTCGGACAGTGTCCAGGTCCGAGGGGGACCCCTCATGGGGGGCAGAGGGGGGCATCTGGACCCAGACTTGAGGATCCCGGGAGAAGGGTCCAGGGAGAAGCTGGACGCCGGCAGAGGCGGGAGGGAGGAGGCGGCCCTGCCCACGCCTCCGTCTCAGACTGGCCGCACATGGGCAGCCCCGCGGCCCGGACTCGGTCCCGTCAACCCCCATCCTCTGACCGGCAGGGCCGGGCCGCGTCCTCACTCAAAGCGGCCGCCCCAAAGACCCACACCTGTGCTCAAGGGTGCGCGGCAACCTGCTGCTCGCCCAGCGGGCCGCCCTCCGTGCCTCCAGCCCTGAGGGGGCTTCCTGTGACCTCGGCCACCGCCGCTGTGTCCCTGTGCCCTCCCTGGCCCTGGCCCTGCAGCCGGTTCCCGCCTTTTCCGTCCACAGTGACTCAGGGACACTGGACCACTCCCTGTCCCTCTGGGCCCCGCCCCCCAGGCACCCTGCGCCCATGGAGGGTGAGGGCAGGTCTCCACACCAGCCAGCCCTTTCCAGAAAGTTCTCCCTCGTAAGTCAACGACAGAAACCACCGCGTGGAGATGTCGTGGTGCGGAAATCGCTGAGGAGTTCCACACAAGCGCGGGGGAGCAGGCGGCAGGCTTCAGCTCTTTAATGTGAGGGAAGAATATGGTACAGCTGCACCTCGGGACGCAGTTTCGACTCGCTTACGGCCGGCCGGCTGCGCCCGGCATCCCGGGCTGCAGGCCGGGGAGCGTGCGAGGCGTTCTTCCGCTAACACCGTCGGGGCCGCACGCCGTCCGTCTGCATCTGCTGCCCGCTGCCCGGAGGCCCCGGGCACGTGGTCTGGGACTCCGCCCGGGACCCAGGGATGGCGGGGCGGCTGACGGGCGCCTGGGCGAGGCCTCGGCGGGGCGTGGGGCACCAGGGGTGGGCGGGCCGCAGGAATCGGAGCTCCGGACTCGGCTGGTGCGTGGGAGCCGCAGCAGCCTCAGGGGGAGGGGCGTCCAGGGGACAAGAGGCGGAGATTCTGTCTGTGGGGCGCCTGTGGCTCCCACCCTGGGCCCAGCCGCACAGGGTCCCCCTGCCGGGAGCCCCCAAACAGGACAGGGGCGGCAGAGCCCCCAGGGGCGGTTTGGCTCCCTTCCTCCTCCAGGATGGAGGCTGAGGACCCAAACCCAGGACTCGCCTTGCTGACATGTGACCCTGGGCATAACTCCTTTGTGACTCAGTTTCCCCTCTTTTCAAAGGGACAGAGCACTGCTTCTGGCACCTGTTTCCCTGAAGGGCCTGCTTCCCGCATGGCCGCCCCGCCCCCTCCACCCGTGCCCCGCCCCTCGTCCTGCCTTACTGGACCACCAGCCCCCGGAGCTCCTACACAGCCAGGCCTTGGCCTGCGGGTCCCCAAATGTCCTTCAGGTCAGACCACAGGCCCCAGGCCCACAGGATGTGAGTGTGAGGGGTGCCACCCGGGACCAGCCCTTCACTGCCTCCGTTGGTTTTCCTGAGCCTCGTCGGGGGGGGGGGGGGCGGGGAGACCCTGGGCACAGGCAGGAGCCTGGCCACACACGCCCAGCCCAGCGGGCCTCGTCCGGCTGGGCCTCTCTAGGCGGCTGAGGCCCTTGCCACCTGCGGAGCCCGTCTCTCCTCTCAGGTGGGGGCCCCCTGGGCCTCCTGCCTAGTTGTCGGGGTGCCCAGGACAGGCAGGGCCTGGGCTGACCCTTCCAGGTTGAGGGTGGGGCAGCGGAGAAGCCAGGCCCCACCTGTACCCCCGAGGCCACCCTGGCGGTCCCCAGGGCCCCTCCCGACCGCTAGCCTAGCGGGGCCTCCTGTGCTGAGTGCCTGAGCCCCGCCCACTCGGCACCCCGGGGTCTCTGGGGCCCCAGGGAGCAGCTGGGATGGCTGGGTGAGCCCTCGCCCCCAGCAGCAGGGCGGGCCCCGTTGCCCACAGCTGTAACACACTGGACGAGACGCCCTCTGTGCCCATCTCAAAGACCCCCCCTGAGCCCCAGCCCACTGAGGAGGCACGTCCCAGGTGCTGTGTGACATCAGGGCATCCGCCCAGCCTCTCTGAGCCTCATTTTACTCATCAGTGAAATGGAGCCGCTCTGGGCCCCCGAGGGCCGTCCAGTCCTGCTGGGTGGCCCTCTTCCTCCCTCTGGTGGTGAAGACACCACACTGCGAGGGGGGCCGATCTCAGAGGGTCTGGCAGGCCTGGTCGCGCTGCCCTCCAGACCATCCTGTAAGGCCGCTGCCCAGAACGCCCCTGGCACCCAGCCTCTCCACCCAGCTGGGACCCCACACAGCCCAGGCCCTGCCAACCCTTCAGGTTGACCATCCACCCCCACCCCCACCCCACTGCCCCTACAGTGGCCGTCTTGCTGTGGGGGACAGCGAGCAAGAGACCTCCCCACTGTCACCACTGCTCCCAAAACCCACATGGCCCCGTGGCTCCCACTGGTCACCACAGGCCCAGAGAGGGCAGTGCCCTGGGCCAGGGCCACACGGCAGCGGGCCGTCTCAGTACCAGGCAGCCCCGCCCTGCCCTGCATCCCGCCCTCATCCCAAGCCCCAAGAATTGCGACGGAGACCTTCCGTGGGACCCTGTTCCCGCTGGGACCCACAGGTGACCCTGCCTGCCACCTGGCGGGGGGCGCTGGTGCTCTGCCACCACCCAGGGCCCAGGGGAACCCCCGTGAAGGCTCCCGCAGCAGCTGGGGACAGCGCGGGAAGACACAGCCACCACTGAGCCCCTCGCCCAGGCGAGGGGACAGCCCGAGGCACCGCCGCCCCCCTGGGTCACTGAGTGGGGCAGCGCTGGGGACAGGCGCAGGTGTGGGCGTGGGGCCCTGCTGCCCGGGGGCCTGCCCAGCCTGGCCATGTCCTCTCCTCCAGGAGTCGGGGAGGCCGGCCCCACTCCCTCACTGTGGCTGCCAGGGGCCCAGGCCCAGTGCCACCAGCCCGGGACCCAGGGCGCAGAACTGCGGCAGAGACGCCCGTGGGGCCAGCCCCACCCAGGGCCCAGGCACACCCACGGGCTGCTGCAGACCAGCAACATGGCCGAAAGGAGACAGAGCCCAGGCCACATGGTCCGTTTCTTTATTGAGGCCACTCGGACCCCACAGAGGGTGGTCCAGGGCCACCCCACGGTGCCCGCCCAGCCCGGCCCTGGGGCCAGGGTCCTGCAGCCGCCAGGCGTCTCACTCCGGGGTCCTGTTTCTGCCCCTAAAGGACCAGCGGATCTTGGACTTCTTGGACTTCTTCCTCTGGAGGTCTGGGAGAGGGGGTCCCTCAGGGCCGCTGCTCCCCTCAGGACCCCTGCTCCCCTCCAGGCCTGTGCTCCCTGTTGAGCACCCCCCACCCCCGCCTTCAGAGCCTAGAGACCGCCGAGCCCTGAAGGAGCCCAGAGGCCCCGCCCTCCCCCACGGGGCCGCCAGCGCCTGCCTTTGGAGCACCCACCCACACAGGGCACCCCTCTCCCTGACCGGAGGCTCGCCCACTGCTTCTCAAACCCCTCAAGTGACGGGACTCAAGCCCTTAGGGTGAGCCTGCCTGTCCTGCACTGACGCCCCGGCCGAGGCCCCCGGCGCCCCAGGAGGTCCCGCCCCACCCAGCGCAGCCTCCTGGCCCCCAGGTACCCAGCTTCTGGATCATGCTCTCCAGCTCCTGGTCCTCCTCTTGCTCCCTGAAACGGAACGGGGGTCCTGAGGGACGGCTCACTGGGGGTGGGGCACGCCGGTCCCTCCTAGTCGGCCTACAGCTCAGCCCGGAGCGCGTCAGACGCCAGGCTTACCTGCCCTCTGCAGCAGACAAGCCACACCCCGGCCCCGCCCCTCCCTCCCTGGCAGGGCCCCGCCCCTCCCTCCCTGGCAGGGCCCCGCCCTCCCCAAGCCCCGCCCCCTGCCCCGCCCTCACCGGAGCCGGTCCTCATCCAGGCAGTCGACGATGTCGCTGCGGTGGTTCACGGTGCTCACGTACTGCTTCAGCAGATCCTCCTCCCGCTGCCGGTCCTGGGGTGACTTCAGGCCCTCTGCAGAGCAGCCTGCCGTCAGCGGGAGCCCCGCGGTCCCACCCCGCTCAGAAGGCAGAGTCCCCGCCCCTCGGGCGTCAGGCTCCGCCCGTGGAGGAGGGGCGTGGCCCGCGCTGGGCTCTCGGCAGCACCGACGGGACGAACCAATGACCGAAGGAAACGGCCTGTCAGAGACTGAGTGCCGCGGCCGGCCCTGGGTCCCCGCGCCTGTGTGTGCGCACTGTGGGGGGGCTGGGGCTCGGGACAGAGCCCCCGGGGCTCAGCCAGCGCTCCCTCCGCCACAGCGACACTCACCCCACGCGGGTCGGTGCTCACTTCCTGCCCCTCGCACGTAGTCAGCCCTCAGCCCTCACCACGGCTGGAGGGGCTGGGGGCTAGTCCTGTCCCCTCTCTGCAGGGGCCGAGGCCCTGGCACAGAGAGGGTGAGCGACTGAGCCAGAGACGCACAGCCCGGAAGTGGAGGAGGCTCCAGAGGCTCGTCGGCAGGCTCCAGAGACCTGCACCCCCAGCAGGACCCCCGGCCTCTCCCCCAGGCGGCCAGCAGGACGGCGTCAGGAAGCCCCCCCACCCCAGCACTGGGCTGGGCTCCTGGCGGGAGGGCAGGGGGAACGCACCGGGCATGTTCAACAGCTGGCGCAGCTCCCCCTCGAGGTCCAGCTGCTGCTCCTCCAGGTGCTGGTCCCTGGACCTGCCGAGGGGACAGGGTGAGCCGCCTCGCCCAGCCCGACGGGGAGGCGGGGCCGTCGGGGCCGCGGGCAGCCTCTCACTTGTACATCAGCTCCGACTCCAGCCGCAGCAGCAGCTGCTTCTCGTGGATGAGCCGGAACCAGTCCACCATGAGCGCGTCCTCCGAGGCGTCTGGGGGGGGCGGGAGCCAGGGCTGTGCGCGGGTGGGGCAGAGCCCCGGGGGCTGCCCCGGGGGCAGGGCGGCCCAGGGCCAGGGGCCAGGGCAGGGCGGGGCGGGGCAGGGAGTCGGCCACCCAGGTGGGGGGGGGTGTTGGGTCTGTGCGGGGAGGGCGCAGCTCACCCCCCTCGGCCTCCCGCAGGCGCCTCTCCAGGTCCACGCCCCTGAGCTCCAGGACGTCCAGCTGCCGCTGGATCTGCTGCACCTGCCGCTGGATCTCCTCCTGGGGCACGTGGTCTGGGTGCAGCTGCAGGTGATGGGGCGGTGAGGGCGGTCCACGCCCCCGGGGGCTGGCTCTTGCCCCAGACCCCCCTCCCGCCTACTCACCCTGACCGGGGAGGCCGCTGCCCTGCCGGGTGCAGCGGGGGCGTCGGCCCGGCCCAGGGCCTTCCCTGCAGAAGAGGCGGGATGAGCGGCCTGGACGGGGGCCACCAGGCCCTCGGTGACTCAGACATGCCCTGGACCCCGACAGCGGGGCTCCCCCAGCTCTGCCCCCCGTGTGCCCTGCCCCCTCCCCACGCTCCCCTGCCCATCCCCGCAGGCCCCTGGACAGAGCTCACAGACAGGTCCAGGTGCCGTCCCCACGGCCACCCTGGCCCCTGCCCTCCTCCAGGTCGGCTGCCCCGCCAGCCGCCTGCCAGAGCAAACACGCCAGGCGTCCCCAGCTCTCTGCTAGGAGGCTTGGGGCCTCTGTCTGTCCGCCCCCCTACCCCCCGTGCCGGCCCGAAACCTCCACAGCGGGGCCGCCAGCAGCTGCTCGGCCGAGGGTGCCCGTGTCCTTCCCTCGCTCTGGGCCTGCTGAGCTCCTACCCATCCTTCAAGGCCCCACTGGACACCTCCTCCTCTGAGCATCCCCTTCTTTTGCACCCCAAAAGAAACGGGGGTGGCATCTCCGGGCCGACCTGGTCTGTCGTCAGGAGAAGGCTTCTCCCCGTCCTTCCCGCTCTGGGCCGGGGCTTCCTGCCCCCAGGGTTTGGGCTGAAGCCGGTCACCAGTGATGTCCAGGTTGGCAGGGACGAACAGCTTCTTGCGGCGGGCTGGGGAGGGGGCCGGGGAGGGGGCCGGGGCTGCCGCGGGCGAGAGACAGACTGTGTGTCAGGCAGCAGGACCGGTCACTTCCCCGTGGCTTCCCTGGGCTGGGGCCACCCACAAGGCAGAGCTCCCTGTGCCCAAGGGGGTGCCCCACTGGCCATGTCTACCCAGTGAGGGCAGCGTCCTCAGTCCCACGGGGCTGGCGACCCACTCGAGGTCACACAGGAAGTGGGTGGCTAGGCGTGGATGCCGGGGCGACCTCGCGCTGGGAGGAGACTTGCCCCACCCCCGCCCCACCCCCGCCCCACCCCCGCGGGAATGCAGACACGCCCGTGCACAGCCCTCACCTGGGAGGCTGGGCTGCGGGCCAGTGGGGCCCGGCGACCTGTCCAGACGCACCGGGGTCAGGGTGATGCGGACACCGCCCTCGGCGCTCCCGGGGACCTTCTGGGGGGCATCCCCTGCCCTCGGCTCCCCCGGGACCCGCGGCTGCGCCAGCTCGGGGGCCCTGGATGGAAGGCAGGAGGCCAGCGGCCCTCAGCACAGACAGGCCGAGTCCCGCGTGGGGTGGGGAGGCAGGCGGCACGCTGCGCCCAAGGCCCACGCGCCTGCCGCCTGCCGCCCAGGCCCCTCCCCAGGACCCGGCCTGTGTCCACACGGGTACCCGCTCTGGTGCGGGGGTGGGGGGTAACGCACTCAGAGGGCACAGCCGGTGCCCACACACCCACCCGGCCCAGGGCCCCGTGTGCACGCAGGACCGCCGCTCCTGTCCTGCGGCCGCGTGGACTCGGCACCCACCTGACCCTCCTGCCCCGGGTGCGTCCCCGGACGGCGCTCTCTCCCTCCGTCCTAACCGCGTTGTCTGTGGGGAGCTGCCCCTTCCCCGCTGCCAAGCCCACGGGCGGGCAGGGGTCCCAGCTGCGCGCTGGGGCCAGGCCTACTGAGCACACCCCTGTCCCTCGGCCACCGAGCCGGTGCACACGTGGGAGGACTCCAGGGGCCCTGGGGGACCCGCCCAGCCGCCCAGCCTCCTGCCCCCCCGACGCCCCGATGCATGATGGGAACACGGCCCCACGTCCCTCAGGCCCATGTGACCCACTGTCCCCTGCGAGCCCGCTCCGGCTGCCGCGCCGTGACGCGCCCACGTCCCTGCTTGGGGGCGTGTCGACCCACCGGTCCACACAGGACCGCCGCTCACCCGTGAGCATCGGCTGAGCACCTACTGTGTGCAGGCCCCCTGCAGCCCCCGGACACGGGCTCCCACTCGGCCTCGGGAGCGCAAACCCGCAAGGCCGCCTGCCCGCTCACCTCTCGGCTGGGCTCCTCTTCTCCACGGGCCTCAGGCGGCCCCTCCACCCTGCCGGCCCCTCCTCCTGGCCTTCTGGGGTGCTGGCTCTTGGGCCTGGGTGGGGGGCAGGGAGACGGGTCACACTGGGGGGGTTCCGGGGAGAGGAGGAGTCTGCTGGGAGAAGCTGGGCCCCACCCCATGCTCCTGCAGCCGGCCCACCCTCAGGCGCCCCCAGCGGCCGGGGTTATGGGAAGGGGCCTGGGCTGGGAGGTGGGCACAGGACTCCCGGCCCGGTCTCCTGTGCTGTGTGTGCCGGGGGGAGTCACGCCACCTCTCTGGGCCTCAGCTTCCCCGCTGCCAAACAGGCCAGGGTGCCCAGGCGTGTCCCTGGACGCTGACCGTCCGTGAGTCTGAGGACCGTCTCTGGCACCCGCGCCCCTCACTTGCCCCACATGAGGGGGGCTCTTACCCTTTGCCAGTGGGGCCTCTGGCTTCAGCCTGGAGCCGGCACCTGCCCCGCCAACCCCTGAGGACACAGCTGAGCTCTTCCTGCCCGCCTGGGGCGGCGTGGATGCCCCTGAGGTAGTGCTCCCACTCAGTGGGGCTGGTGGCGCCGTCTTTACTGGGGGGCTGAGGGCATGGGGGGACGCTGACAGTGGCAGCTCGGTGGGTGGCCTTGCTCGTGGCCCTTCGGCTCTGGGAAGGCCGCTCGGAGCAGGGGAGGGCCTGTGGGTGTGGGCGGGCATCAGGCACAGGTGGATCCAGGAGCCCCCTCCCACCATGACCCCCAGACAACAGCCCTTCAGCCCCCCTGGGTGGCTGGTTCCCAACGCCCACCCCCGAGGGAGGGCAGGCAGCCCCCCCAAGGGAGCAGGGGCAGCGGCGGACACCCCCTCTGGCAGTGGCGCCTGTGGGTGCCTGACTTTGCTTCCCTGTTTACCTCTGGTGTGGGGCGAGGTTAAGGCTCCCCAGACACACCATGGATGGGGTGTGCAGGGAGGGCCCACACCCCAGCCCCTCCTTCCTCCACCTGTGCAGGGCCACGGGCCAGCCCGTCCCATAGCCGCGCTGGGAAGCCCAAGGCAGCAAGGGCTGGCCAGGGGGGTTGGGCAGCCCTGAGCAGAGGGGCAGCGGGCCCACCTGGTGCGGCACCTCCTTCCCCGCCAGGTGAGTGGCGAGGGGAACGGTGTCCCGCCACGTGGGTACCCCCCCCCCAGCAGCGCAGAGCACGCCCCATCTGGGCACAGGGTCTTTGCCCCATGGTCAGGTCAGGGTGAGGTCGCCCGGGGCCCGGGTGGGCCGGGGTCGAGGACAAGTGTCCTCGGGAACAAGAGCCGGGAGAGGAGGCTCACGGACACGCAGAGGGGAGACAGACACACGACAACAGGGCCGCAGAGCAGGGAGGACTCGACCGCCAGCCCAGGGACGCCGGGGCCCGGGAGCTGGGCGAGCAGGAGGGGCCCTGCCCCGCGACACCTCCACCTCGCACTGGCCTCCGGGGCTGTGAGCAAACCAGCGTCGGCGGGGCCGGCCAACCAGGACGCTGGCGCAGAGACGCCCCGCCCCCCGGGGCCGAGTCTGCTCCGAGTCCCGGGTGCAGAAGGCATGGGCAGGCTGGGACCCGGGCCGGGCAGGGGTGGCCCAGAGCCCCTCTCGGGCCAGACCGGTGACCCCCGGGCCACTCCAGCGGCTGCTTCCCCGGGTGAGAAGCGGTGTCCTTGGAGGACAGAGCGAGTGCCACTGGGGGCCCCCGTGGTTGTGTCCCTGTGCCTACACCCCCTGAGCATGCAGACAGCAGCTCACAGGGGTGACTGTGTCCCCTGCCCGCCCTAACCCAGCACCGCAACCCCCCGCCTCCCTCTCCCCACTTCCCAGACGAGGAAACTGAGTCTGGGGGGAGAAGCCAGGCAGGGCAGACCCTGCACATCGCAGCCCCCTGGCCTGGGGGACCCCAGTGGGTGGGCAGGGGCGCCCCAGCCCTGTTCCCCCACGCACCTGCCCGGCGCCGGAGCGCTGGCCCCCTCGAGCCTTGGGAGGGCCTTGCGGAGGCAGCTCAGCGCCTGCTCCCTGTGGCTGACCGCGGCGGGCGTGTCTGCTGGCCCGGGGCTGGGCGGGGCTCCGGGTGTCTGCAGGAACCTCTCCCGGGCCTGCTGCGTCCTGGAGGCCGACGGGGTCCAGGCCGGGGCACCCGTGGGGCTGGCGGACGCTGGGCTCGGACTGAGCTTGGTCTGGGGGGCTGAGGAGCCTTGTGTGGCCAGGCGAGGGTCTGGGGCACTCCGGGTCACAGCAGGACAGGGGCTCCCCGAGGGGACATGGGAGGGGGTGCTGGCTGGAGGGTTAGCCACAGCGGGAACCAAGCCTTTGGCCGTGGAGTTGCCCACCACAAGATCCCGGGCTGCGGGTCTGGCCCCTGGCCCTGCGTCTCTCCACCCCCCTGCCTCCTGGGCTGTCTGCGGGGTGCTGAGGGGTTTGGAGTCCGTGGGGGCGGCCCCCGGCTGTCTGGGGGCTGGGCCGGGGGCCGTGGGGTGGTGGCTGGAACAGATGAAGACGCCCGGCTCCGCCGTGGTCCGGTAGGCCCCCGGGCGCAGGGTGTTGGAGCACTGCTTGCACCTGCGTGGGGGGGCGGCAGAGGGGACCGGGGCCCCGCTGGCATCACGAGACCTGGGGGACACTCTCGGCCGTTCCCGTGTCCGTCCCCTCGACAGGCACCTCTGTCCTGCTGTCAACCTTCGAGTCTCAGACCCCACTAAAGGCCCAGTGAGGGGTGCGGACACCCCAGGAAGGGCCCGTGCCCCCCCACCCACATGTGCGGGCGCGCCCCACCTGAAGCAGCTCCGATGGTACAGCTTCCCGTCAGCCAGGTGCCGCTGCACCAGGTGCACGTGCTGGCCGCAGACCGCGCAGGTGCTGCTGACCCGGCCACCCGCCGAGGCCTGGCCCTGGGGAGGGACGGCAGCTGAGGGCTCTGAACACCCCCTCGGGCCCATCCGGCCGGCCAGCGAGAAGGTCCCACTTCACAGAGGGGAGAGCCAAGGCCCCGGGGGGCAGCCAGGGCTCACACCCAGGCCGGCTGGACTGCAGCCTGGCCCAAGGGGATGGGCTGGAAGGCCTGGCTTTGAACCCCCAAAGTTCCCACCCCAGGGCACAGAGATCCAATCCGACTCCCAGGTCCCAGCTGAGAGCCGCCCCAGGTGCCTGGAGCCTGGTGTGCCAGCCCCGGGGCAGCAGGGGGCGCCCAAGTGCAAGTTATGGCCCCTGTCTGTCTGCACCTCCGGGAAGGGGGGACCCGGCTCGCCCAGCAGGGCCGGCCTGGGAGGGAAGGGCACACCCAGCCTTCTCCCCAGACCCCGTGGGAGAGGGCGTGGCCGGAGCCGAGAAACCCCCCAGAGCCCGGAAAGGCCTGCGTCCCAGGTCCCAGCTCGGCTTAGCCTCCCTGGGCCTCAGTTTCCCCGCGTGCACAGTGGGGGGGTGGGGGTCGCAGCCCGACCCCATCAGACTGAAGGGCCTCGGGAGGCGGTCCCCAGGGACTTTGGAGAACTGTCCGCTGAGGCCTCGCAGGGACTCAAGGGGACCCCCACCATCCCGGGCACAGGGGTCCGGGGCCACGCTCAGCCGGCCCAGCCCCCAGCCCCGCTCGGCCAAGCTGGTGGAAACCCGGGGGGGGGGGCGAGGAGCGGGGCTGGGGTGCTTACAGCCTTCGGCGGTGCTCCCTCTGCGCCCCCACCCTTCTGCTGGCCGGTGGCGTTGGTGCTGATGGGAGACAGCGGCTGCCCCCGGGCCGGGGCCGGCAAGGGCCTGGCCGGCTGGGGTGGGACTTTCTTCCCCGAGGGTTCCTCCTCGGAATCGGACTGGGGCCTCTTGATGCCAGCCAGGCCCCCGACTGCGGGAGACACAGGGTCAGCGGGCCCGGCCCAGCCCCCACCCTGGCTCTCAAAGTGTCTGGGGGCCTGGAGTGGGGATCGGGGGGCAGTGGGGGCAGGGCAGAGCCTGCTGGCCACCAGCACCACCCCCCCGGCGGGGGCCCGGCCTCACCCCCGCCCTCTCAGCCTCTGTGGGGTCAGGAAAAAGGGACTTTTCTGTTTCCCCACAGAAAGGGGGTGGGAAGGCGGGGCTGGCCCAGAGCCCAGAGCGATTCCGGGGATTTCTAAGGCCTGCTGAGGAATGTGGGGAGAGAGGCTAAGAACCAGGCTGGGACAGAGCCCCCAGCCAGCCTCTCCCTGCCCACCGGGGCCTGCAGGCCCCGGCCCAGGGCCGAAAGCCGGACTAGTGGGGCGACCCCAGGAGCTGGGCCCGGAGCCTCCAGGGTCCTGAGGCAGGACCGGCAGGCAGACCCCCAGGGGCGCAGGCAGGGAGACCAAGGCCTGGAGGGTACGGGGGGGGGGGGAGAGGAGTGTCCATTCAGTGGATGGGGCGAGGGGCGAGGGGGTGAGGGGGGCGAGGGGGGGCGAGGGGATGAGGGGGGCGAAGGGGGCGAGGGGGGCAAGGGGATGAGGGGGGCAAGGGGGCGAGGGGGGCGGGCGGGCCCCAGGAGGGAGCAGCAGACAGGGTGCTGTCCGGGCCGCCGGGCAGAGTGGGGGGGTGCTGTGGGGGCTGCAGGGTCGGCGGGGGGTGGGGGCGCCGCTCACTGGGGGAGCGTCCGTGGAAGTAGTTGTAGTACTGGGACACGTAGGTCAGGATGCTCAGCCGGTCCGGCACCTTCAGGGCCACCATGTCCTCGGCGTCCAGCAGGGCCGGGATGCCCAGCTGCTCCTCCGCCACCAGGAAGGCCTTGGGGAGGGGGTGGTCAGCAGGCAGCGGGCAGGGGGACGCCACCACCTTCCCGCCAACCAGGCCACCAGCCCCCCCAGGAGGCACCAGAGGCAAGAACCCCACTGGGAGCCCAGAAAGGTCCAGGTTCAAGGCTCCAGCTCAACTCGGCCGGGAGGCCTCCCTGGGCCCCAGTTCCCCCAAGTGGGAGTCGCGGCCCAACCAGGTGGGGCTGAAGGAGCGCGGGAACCGGTTCCCGCGGGCTCCCGCTCAGGGTCCCGCTCGGGCACCCGGCGGGGGTGGGGGGGGCAGGGACAGCGAGGGGTGCACTCTGCGCCTGTCACCAGACCGACCGCTGGGACTCGGGGCCGCCTCTGCAGCGAGGACACAGGCTGCCCGGGCCGGGGACGGCCCACAGCGCGGCTGGAAGCAGCCTCTGCAGCCCCCTCCAGCCAGGGCTGAGCGGGCGGGTTGGGGGCGAGGTTCCCCACCCCCAGGTGGGGGGCGGTGGTGTCCCACCCAGGACATGCCTGGGGGGCCCTGCCCTCCCAGAGCCACCTCTGGGCTGGCTGTGCTGTGAATGGCGGGACAGAGGGCCCAGCTACGCCCTGACCCGAGGACCCGAGGAAAAGGGCCCCAGGTGGGCCTGGCTCTCGGACAGGCTCTGAGGAGCGGCGTGGGCAGGCTCGGGCGGCGGGGGAGCTCCCGGCGAGCCCCGGGGCCGGCGGGCTGCGTGCAGGGCAGGGAGCAGGGACTCACCAGCTTGTTGTTCTCGTAGACGTTTTCCTTCCTGAGGGCGTCGAAGTTTCTAGGAGATAAAATACGGGTGTGCTAAGCACTCAGACCCCAGGAAGTGGGGGCTGGAAGGGCCTCGGAGGTCATCCTGCCCGCCCGCCCCGGGGAAACCGAGAGGGCGTGTGGTTTTCCTGCCAAGGAGGGAGGCCCCACAGCCATGGGAGAGTGGGGCCAGCCGGCATAGCGGCTCCGGCCACCCCGGGGGCCTGGGCTCAGGGGGCCGGCACAGCTACAGCCCAGCCCTGCCAGGGCACAGCTCAGAGGGCTGTCCTCGAACCCCGCACCCCGAGGCCCACGCTGGAGGCCACGGCCCCAGTCCCAGGCGGTTGAGAGCACAGCAGGGCACGGGGGCTGGAAGGGCAGGGACAGTGCTGGGTGGTGAGGGATGGAGCTCCACGCCCGCCCTGCCCCGGGCATCCGTGGGATCCCTGCCACCCCCATGGTCCCCGCACCCTGGGCGCTCACGCCCCACACGCTGCCAGTGCCCGCCCCTCCCAGACGAAGAAACTGAGTCACAGAGAGGCTCCGTGGCCCACCCGTGGGCACGTGGCAGGGAAGACGGAAGCCAGGCCGCGGCCACACTGTCCAGGGGGCAGGCCCTCACCCCAAACTGAGCATGTCAGAGCCCGGGTCCCCATGCACTTGACCACAGGACACAGGGCGTCCCAGATGCAAGGGCCCCAGAGACACTGCAGGCCGCCCGGGGCCCTGGGCACCACGGCCCCTCTCGTGCCCAGGGGGTGCTCTGGGCAGAAAGCACAGCTGGTCCTGGGTGGGCGGTCCCGGGCGGGCTGGCCAAACACTGGTCAGTCAGTGGGTCTGTCTGTGCGGCCGCGTTGCTGTCCATGGGGCGTGAACAGCACCCCTGCAGCTCCAGCGTGAACCGGAAGGTTCCAGAAGCCTCCCAGCATGGGGGAGAGAACATGTCTGACCCCTGAGGCCACGCTGCAGGCCCCGGGCAAGCCCCCTCTTCTCCCGCGCACCCCCCCACCCCCCCGTCCCCGTGTGAGAAGACAACCGAAGCTCCTGGAGGTGAATCCGAGGGCCCTGGCTGAAGGCTGAGCAGACCCCACAGGTGGGGCCGGTGAGACCCTGCGGCCCCGGACGGCCTGTCACCCAGAAGAGGAAACTGAGGCTGGGGCCCCGTGGTGCTGGGTCCGCCCCCCCCTCCCCGGGCCCCCCGAGGCCCAGCCGCCGTTCATCAACCTGCCGGCTCTTCCGGAAACCGCCCCGTTTCCGCTCGGACCACCCCCTGGTAATGCGTTCCAGATGCCGAGACCACCCCATGAGCACAGAGGGCGCTTTGTGCGGGGGGCAGGACGGTGGGCACGCTGCTCTCGGGTGGACGAGGGCCGGAAGGGGCCGGAAGGAGCGTGAAGGGCGTGCCAGGCCTCGACCCCGCAGCCTGCGCAGCGCCGCCCACGCTGGCTCCTCGCCCGCACGCCCGTGGGCCCTCAGCCCCTCTGTCCTCGGCCTCCGGCCCCCCATCCCTTTGAACGCTCAGTCCGTTCTGCAGGCCCGGCCTGGGTCACCGGCGAGAGGGCAGGTCAACAAGTTCTGTTTTGTCTCCAAATACATGAGGGGAGGCCCCTGGCCCCCACATGGGCCTGCAGGTTCGGTTGGGGCTGCCAGCTGCCCTGTGGGGCCCTCTCCTCCCCGAGACCCAGGGTGAGGTCCTCAGAGCTCCAGGTGGGCTGGGGCCCCCACCAGGTGGGCCGGGGCCCCCGCGAGGCGTGCCAGCCCCTGCCGAGCAGGGTCAGAGGGGAGCAGGGCAGAGGCTGCAGAATTGCCGTTCCGCTGAAGTTCAAGGACCTCAGCCCCTCGGGACCCAGTTCAAGCTGCTTCTGGGCACTCGAGGCCTGCACACGGGGCCTGACACCCCGCCCCGCCTGGACCGGGCGCCCCACGTAGTCCTGAGTGGACGGTCAGGCCGGGGCTCACGTCCCTCCCAGCGTGAGGTCCAGGGCTGCCTCGCCAACCCCTTCGGAGAGCGCCGAGCGGAGAACCACCCGGCCCTGGGAAGTCCGACCGGACCCGACCAGCTCTCTGCCAGCGGGGACCCCAGTGGGACAGGCTGGGCCGCGCCCCCTGCAGAAAACCTTTTGGAGTCCTCACCCCTGGGACCCCAGAAGGCACCCTGATTCGGAAACAGGGTCTTCGCAGAGGGAACCGACTACAGCGAGGTCCCGAGGGCGGCCCCGATCCAGAAAGCGTCTTTGTCAACAGGGAAGCCGGTGCACAGAGGTGTTCCCTGAGGGAAGGCGGCCACCCACGCGCCCAGGACGGAGGCCCCAGGGGGACCCGGCCGGCGACACCGGACCCCGGCCAGGAGCGGATCCACGGCTGCCGTTGGAGCACCCACTCTACAGGCCCGGAGCACAGACCCCGGCTCCGGCTGGCCCCCGGGGAGGCAGCCATGCTGGGCCACAGGTTCTGGTCCTCTGAGGTCCCCGCCACAGGCGGGGCCAGCACACAGCCGGCGCTCTGCACGTGCGCGCTGAGCGGGTCTCCCGCCACCCGCCAGCGGGTGGCCCCGCAGGTCTGCACGGCCTGGCGCAGGGGCCCCCCCACGGCTCACACCTCTGGCCCTGGCCTGCTTCCCTGGCCACGACTGACCAGGGCTGCTGACCTCAGGCTGCAGCCTCCTGCCCCCTCTACCTGGGGGCTCCAGGGAAAGTGTGCCCCCTCCACATTCCTGACGAGCTGACCTCATGCTGTTTATTTCCTGGAACCAAATGCAGCCGTTGGGGGGCGGGGGGCGGGGGGCGGGGGGCCAGGGGGGGCAGGGCGGACAGGAGGGAAAGCCCTTGGAGGAGCACCTCCCACATCTGGAGTTGATCCTGCTGGGAAGGGGACAGAGGGGGCGGGGCAGCCCCAGGCAGGGCTGGTTCCCAGGCCCCACCTGGTACCTGGTGGGCAGGGGAGAGGCCTCCCCTCCCGGCCCTGGGGCTGCTTCTGGCTCGGGAGGCGGGGCAGTGGCAGGGCACCAGGCCCTGAGCTGTCCCCAAGGAGTCGGGCCCGCAGCCCCTCCCGTGTCCATCCTGAAGATTGTACCCGGAAGGCTGGGCGGCTGGCCCTCAGGCCGGGGAACAGAAGGCTTCTGTCCCCGGGCAGCTTCCTGCTGACCTCGCACAGGAGGGGCGGCGGGCCTGGCCCAGGGGGGGAAACGGAGCCGCCTCTGAGCTCCTGGGTGGGAGCCCCTGGGCGGGCCTCTCCTGACCCCCAGCGGTGGGCGTGTCCGGAGTAGCGGTCAGGCAGCCACCCCTGCCGCTGGCCCTGGGCCCTGACACCCGCCCTCCCCCCGGGCAGAGAGGCCTGGGAAGCTCTCAGCCCAGGTCCTGACACCCCACAGGGGCCAGCTGTCCGCAGCTGCTACAAGTGACCCCTCCTTGACTGCCCCCTCCCTCGCCGGCCCTGGGACACTGCCTGGTGCCGGGAAGGGCTCCCGCCCCTGCTCCCGCCCGTCCTGGAGGCTCCGCGCCTCCTGGTCAGGCCCCGAGGCAGAGGAGCAGAAGAAGCAGCTCCAGCCCGACAGGTTTACCGCCGGGAGGCTCGTGCTGGGCACGACCGGGCACCTGGCAGCTCACCTGGCAGCTCGCCAACGTCCCCAGGGAGGCCCACCTGCAGGAGACCTACAGCTGCCAGGTGCGCACGGCCCACCTCCCGGGGACGGATTCGCCCACACACGCCAGGGTCCCCGAGCAGCCACCCAAGGGCCTCCCGGGCAGGGCCGCGTGAGCACGGCTGGCACTGGGCCGGCGGGCAGAGACGCCCACCGCTGGCGGCGGGCCACCATCCCCACCTGGCTGGCTTGGTGCCCAGCGGCTCCTCACAGCCGCGCTCCCTCCGCCCCGGGCCAAGAGGAAACGGGTCCCCCCGGAGCAGGAAGGACTGAGACGAGACAAGAGAAGGGGACCCGGAGACAGGACGTCCACCTCCCGCGGCCGGAGGAGGGTCTGCCCGGGGCGGCGTGTGGGGTGGTCTCCCCCTGTGCCGCCCCTCACTGCACCCTTCTCTTCCTGGGCCTCTGGGGCCGCAGGCAGCTCGGAGTGTCCTGGGGGGATGCCCCCCACCCAGCCTCCAGGGGCACTGCCAGTCCAGAGTGGAGGAGGGGTGTTTAAGAGGGGTGTTTAAGGCACCAGCGGGGGTGCCACAGAGGGCACTGGACCCCCGGGGACCCATACGCACAGGTGCACACCCCCATCACACCTGCTCCCCTCGACAGTGTCCACAGAGGCCCTGCTGCACCCCCCAGGTGGGACCCGCACTCCGTCCTGGGCTGCCGTGACGGAGGACCACACGCTGGGTGGCCGAACACCACACACGCCCACCCCCCACCCCAGTTCGGGGGGCCAGACATCCTCCGACAGAGTTGCGCCCCCTGCAAAGGCCCTGGGGCGGGTTTTGCTCCCGGCCCCGCCCAGCCTCAAGTGGCTCCAGGCTGCCCTAAGCTTGTGGTGGCATCACCCCGATATCACCTCCACGGTCACACAGCTCCCGCCCCACCTCCCTCCTCATTCACACCTGCACTGCCCCTGCTTTCTGGCGTCCCCCACCCAGCTCCCCGAGCCACACCTCCCAGCACAAGCCCTGATCTGTGGACTTCCAGCTGTGCCGACACCTGCGGGCCACCTGACAGGTGCTAGACAAGGTTCCCGCCCCGGGGACGTCCCCACCCTCTGGAGCTGAAAGTCCAGGAGGCAGATGGGCCACAGCCCATTTGGCAGTGAGATAATGCAGTGCCCCGTGCGGCCGGGGTCAGGGGGCAGCCCCCTCGCCGAGTCCCACCCTCAGCCCTCTCTGGGGCTGCCTGGCGCTTCCGTTCATCTCTTGTGGGCTGTCGGCCTCTGGGCCTGGACCGTCCGTCCCTGCCTGGGACGGGGCGAAGGCCCGTGTGCAGCAGGCGGCGCCCGGCGCCCCGCCGGCGCTCAGCAGTGGGGAGGTGAACGGCGGCTCGGCGCCTGCCTGCGCCCGCTCACGGGCGTGCCCCCACGTGCCGCCCGGGCTCCCCGCAGGCGGCGCCCACTGGGGCCAGCGCAAGTGCACACACACAGAGACACAGGGCCTCTGGCCGCAGCACAGCGGGGGCAGAGGGAAGCTCCCGGGGCTCAGGAGAGCCCCAAGTCTTGGTCACACCGTGCCATCGCCCCGAGGCCACGAATCCTGCAGACAAGGGCAGCACCCTCCTGTCCTCTTGCAGACTTCTCCCGCTGGCCCCGTCCAGGCCGCCTGGCTCCGCCCCCGCCGGCCTCACCCTGCATGCACACCGGTGGCCTCGGCCTGCCAGCCTCGGCTCCCGACCCCTCTCCCGGCCTCCACATCCCCAGCCCACTCCGCCCCGTAGCACCCAGGTCAGAGCTCAGCTTCAGGTGTTCAATGTGGACGCACGTCCTGCCCCCATATCTTCGCCCTCCAAGGGTGACCGGTGCCTCCCTGGGCAGGGGCAAAGGCTGCAGCCCAGGTGCCCGTGGGACCCCCACAGGGCTCCACAAATGCACCCCGGAACCTTGGGAGGGAAGGGGAGTCACCTGCAGCCCTCATTCTCAAAACCAGCTTCCCGTGGAGAGTGGTGCTTAGGGGCAGTCCCTAGGGCCCCAGGGCACATCGGGGTGCAGGGGGGATCCCCGGCTGCCAGCCCTGACTCTGTGCTCTCTGCCGGCTTCCCAGTCTGCAGCACCGGAGGCCTGGGGGCAGCACCTGCCGCCCTGGGCCCCTCCCCACCCAGAGCTCCCTGCATGCACCCCGCCCACCCTGGCGGCAGCCTGCACGTCCCAGGAGAACACTTTCAGCATCGTGCGTGGTCTTCCCCAGAAGGCACCTGAGTGGCTGGCGCGAACCAGGGCCTCCCTGCACCGAGCTCTGTCTCAGCAAGCCAGGCCCCGGTCACGGCCGAAGGGCGGGTGCTGAGTGAATAATGGACGGCGCGGGTCCAGGCTGGGGACAAGACCTGGCAACAAGTACGGGCCGGCCGGCCTCCCAGCCACAACTCCAAGACCGCCCTCAGGCTGGACGACCTGGAGGCGTCCGCTGCCCGCCTCCCGGGGGCACGGAAGGGTGGGGACTGCCTCCCCCTCACCCCCTGCCGCCTCAAGGAGCAGGAGCCCCGGGAGGTAGGGGGTCTGGGCTTCCTGCTCGGCGCTGGCCCCGCCCCCTCCGAGAGCTGGGGGGCGGGCAGAACCACCCACGAAGCCCCCAGTGCCCCCCACCCCTGTGCTGGTGGACAGGCCCCGGGGAGACGGCGCCCAAGGGGCGGCTGTGGCGGCAGCGCCCGGGACGCGGGCCTGAGTCACCGCCTGACTAAGCCAGCGGGGGCGCCGGATGTTTGGCTCCCTCCCAGCTCCACTTGGCGGACGGGCAAACTGAGGCCGCGGGGCCGCGTCCAGGGCCCGGCGAGCTCCCGCGGGGTCGCGTGCTGGCCGCGCGGGGCACTCACATGAGGTCGGGCCGGTGGCGGTGCAGGATGGCGCAGAAGGCCAGGCCGTCGCGGAACGACGTGGTCATATTGGTGATGCTCACGTCCCGGTAGCCCTCACACTGCTGCCCACACCACTGCTGCAGTGCCTTGATGGCGGCCATGCGGACGGCGTCCCTTGGGCACGGGAAGTCCGAGCGCGGAGCCTGGAGGACGAAGAACCGCTGCGGTGCAGCCGGCGGGAGAGAAGCCGGCAGGAGTGCACCCCGGTCCGCCCGCCCGACACCGCCCCCTCCTGGCCCCGCCCCCCCAGGCCCCTCACTGGCTCTGGCCTCAGTCAGATCCCGCCCCACCCTCAGGCCACGCCCCTTCTAGACCGCGGACCCGCCCACCCAGGCTCCGCACTGGCTCCGGCCTCGATCAAGCCCCGCCTCTCCGTCCAGCCCCGCCCCTGTAGACTTCGGCCCGGTCCCAGCGAGGCTGCGGCCTCGTCCAAGCCCCGCCACCTTCGGAACAAGGCCCGCCCCGCCCACCAGGTCCGTTGCGCCGCCTCCCTCCCCTTGCAGCCTCCCGCCGGGGCGAGCGCCCGGGGCCCGGCCTCCGCTCTCTCTCCCGGGGAGGAGCCGTTCTTTTCAGTTTCCCTCCACAACACCACCACCACCGCTTTCACGGAGAAGTGGGAGACGGCCCCCCTTCAGACAGGGAGACTGAGGCTCGCCCAGGGCCACGTGCCTGGGACAGGAGGGGCCAGGCTGGCCAGCCTGTCTCCTCCTGGGAGTGCGCCCTCCACCCCCTGCGAGAGCGCAACTCCCCGGACTTTCTCGTCGCGGTTTTTCATGCCCGCGGGGGTGGCGGGCGGGGCACGGTTTCCTCCCAACTTGCAGAAGAGGCACCTGAGGCTGGAGCAGGGGCGGGTGCCCACAGGGGGTCCCCCCTCCGGGAGCCGGCCCACTTGGCTGCTTCTGGGGCCTGGGCCCCCCCGGGGGCGGCGACCTCTTCTGTTTCCCAATGTCCCACTTTAAACATCTGCGGCGCCAGCCACTCAGGAAAAGCACCACTTAAGGGCCCTCTATTATCCGGGCAGCTCCCTGCACACTGTCCCCACAGAGCCCTGTCTGCGGCCACATGGACAGCCAGCCAGAAACACGGACACCAGAGATGCGAGAGGACCCGGCCCTCCTGGTCGCCCGCCCCAGGGCTTGTCCAGACAAGGCCCGCGAGAAGGAAGGAAGGTGTTTTCCCCAGAGCAACCCCTGGCAGGGAGACAGCGTGGCTTCTCGGTGACCCCCCGAAGGAGCAGAAACTGAGGCCATCCAGCCTAGAACCAGCGCGTGGCGTTCTGGCCCCTTCCTGCGGCGGGGCCCTGTGGTGTGGACACCCGGCAGCCCCAGTGGTAGTGAAGCCTATGCACAGATGGTGAGCTCCCCGTCTCAGGGGGCATGCAAGCCAGTGCTTGAGGGGGAGCCCCTGTGGGCTGGGACGCTTGCTGGCCATGGCTTCTGCGCACACCTGCGGGGGGACTCCCAGCACAAGGACAAAGGGCATTGTGTGCCAGTTCGGCCAGGCCGCTGGCTGCTCCCGGAACAGGAACCAGCTGGCTTTTCCTGACCCCAGAGCGGCAGTTAGGAGAACTAGAAAAGCCGGTGTGGAAGGGAAGGGCAAGACACCCCCACCGGTCACTCTCCACGTGGCCTGCCCTGGGGACCATGACTGCGGAGGCGGCATTTGTGGCCTGACCCCACCAGCACCTCACACAGCACTTCTTCCATCCACCCACTTCTCTGCCTGCCCCCATCTCTGCCCCAGCTCCCCCGGCTCCCTCCTCCCTCTGGTCACCACAGCCACCCCCCCACCCCAGCCGCCGGGGACCAGGCCCTGCCCGGCTAGGCCAGCACTCAGAACACAGTCTGGGGCCTCATCACGCCTTCCGGCCTCGATTGCCCCACGCTCCCTGGCCTCCCCCCTCCCGGCCTCAGCCCGGCCCATCCAGCCTGCTCTCAGCCACTCCTCGCCCCTCGAGACCCGAAGCCCGCCCCACCCACAGCCAGCGCACAGGGTCCCTGCCAGGTGCCCCCTCCTCTCGCTGCCGGTCCCGCAGGAAACCGACCCCTCTCCCGCCATGGCCACCTCCCCACCCTCCGCGGGTGCAAGCCTGGATCCGAGCAGGAGCCTTCGGGGCTCTGCCTCCGCCTTGCGGCCCAGCCTCCCGGCCTCACAGAGCCGGCGACGCTGGGAATGAGAGCGTGCCGCCCACTCGGCCCTTCCCCCGGCCCCGCTCACACGCCGCGGAAGCTCACACAGGCGTCGTGACGGGCCCTCCAAAGCCCTCCGTCCTGCCCGTCCCCACCTCCTCTCCCACGACCGAGCCCACGGGCACCCGCGTCTCTGCCTCAGGGCCTTGGCACTCCCTCCTTCCTCTGCCGGGACCCGGTTTCCCAGCCTCCCCTGCACGCGGGTGCGGCCGTGTGCTGAGTTCCTGCCCATGGGGGTGACGGGTGCACCTCCAGATGCTCCGCTTCTCCGTCCACTGGCTGGGTGCAGAGGATGCACTGGACACTGGGGACACGCAGGGGAAGGGCCTGGACCCTGTGGGGTCCGGTGGAGGCCCCCGGGCCAGGGGCAGCTGCGGGGCCTCTGGGAGAGTGAGGAGCGTGGGCCGAGCTCAGCCGCTGGAGCCTGGGGCCTGTTTGTCACAGCAGCTAGACCCCATCCTCCGCTGACTGCTGCACTCGCCTGCGGCAGTGCTGAGGGGACACGGGGCCGCTGGACGGCAGAGGCACCCCTGTTGGGGCCAGAGGCCAGGGGTGGCTTCCCCGAGCAGGAGCCCGAGCACGGAGACGGGAAGCCCGGGAGGGACTGGACTGGTCCGAGGAGAGGGAAGGGCTCCCCGGGCCGGGGACTCCGGGTGGCAGGTGTGGGTGGCGACGGAGGCAGCCCGTGAAGCTGCGGCTGCAACAGCAGCGGTGGGGGGGTCCAGGGCCCAGCCACGCCCCTTCCAGCCTCTCCATCAGCGTTCAGGCCCTTTTTTTCTTTTTTCTTTTTAAAGATTTCATTTATGTATTTTTAGAGAGGGGGAAGGGACATAGAGAGGAAAACATCAGTGTGTGGCTGCTGCTAGTGCGCCCCCTTCTGGGGACCTGGGCCCATTTTCTCACTGAAACCTCCAGCTGCCCTTGGAAAGTGAGCTCTGCCGACCTGGTCTGCAGCTCGGGGAAACAGGCCCCACGCACAGAGGGGACCCCTGACCAGCCAGGCGGGGCCAGGACCGAGGGGCGGTGTCGTGCCGATGGCCACACTCCGCCTGCATCTGGGTCCAGGCCAGCGGTCGCGGTGTCCTCCTCTGCTGGTGCCAGCTCGGCCCCCGCCCCGGTGATGACGGAAGAAGGGGAGACTCCGCCACAGGGCTGGCAGGAACAGTGCTGGGGACCAGGGTGGGCAGGGCCGGAGGCACCACGCACTCCCGTCCAGAAGCCCCTGCTCCCCAGGGAGCAGCCACCCCGCAGAGCGGCTCCCACACCAGCTGCCTGTGGAGACCACGCGGCAGCAGCCTGTCACCGACGGGAGCCCCGCAGAGGTGGGGCTCACGCCAACGGCACGGCTCGGGGCCAGACGCTGGCTGGGCCGGGACCCCACAGAAGGTCCCCCACCCTGTTCACAGTCTGAGGGGCCCCCCGGCCCGTGGGGGATTCGGGCTCTGCCTGGCCTGCCGCTACCGGCCGCGGCTGCGGGGGGCAAAACGGCCATGGGAGGGTCCTCCACCCGGTCCCCAAGGCCACCCACAGCGCGCCTGGGGACCCGGGCGGGAGAGGGAGCTGCCCACTGCGATGCCCCGTTTCTAGGGAGGGGCCCTCGGGTCGTCCATTAGGCTGCACGCATGACACCCGCCGCCGCAGGCGTGTTACTAGCAGGTTCACAGGACGCGCCGTGGACGGTGCGTGTGCTCAGAAGCCGTTCTCGACCCCGCTCCTCTCCGGGCCCCGGGAGAGCCCGGCCAGGGCCGCGCCGGGGCCGGTGGGCTGCTTCCCGCGGCCCGACCTCGCGTCTCATTGTGAACGGCTCTGCCGGCCACGGCGGCCACTCTCACACTTCCGTCTACTTTATTATTGATGGCTTCCCGGGGCCGTGCCAGCCCGACGTCGCACACGGCGCGTCATAAATATTTGATCCTGCATCTATAGTCCGCCATTTATCATTTATAACGGGTTACAGAAACATTATAAAACATTTACCGCCGATTTATAGATCATTTTTGGCTGCCATAGCGGTGTGTTGTAGATGCATTATTAATCCCCGAGCTGTTACAGGGACCCCTTGTAGCGGGGCCTGGCCCCCCAGCTCCCGGCCAACCGTGTGCAGGGCCGGCCTTGCCTCTGGTCGCTGGGTGTCCCCGGCCAGACGCGGCCCCTCTCTGTTTGCTGCGGGCCAGTGACGGCCGCCCTCCCCAGGGCTCGCCCCTGCTCCCTCCGAGCCTGGCCGACCCCCAGGCCGGACTCCATGCCGGGGGAACGGGGCTGTGGCCCCCACCCACACACGATGGCTGATGCCGGCCGAGGCCCCCAGTGCAGGCTGGGGTGCGTCCCCACGTGGAAGGCTCCTCCCCGTCCTCCCAGGCCCCCTCGACGCCCCCCCCGGCACAGCTCTCCCTGCCGTGGCCGGTGGGGTGCGACTGCAGGTCCACCCCCCCCCCCGGGACCCCACCTGGGCCAGGCGCCGGGACTCTGGGCCGGGCGGGGTGTGCTCGGGGTGAGGGAGCTGGACTTTCGGCCCTGCCTGCCCGACCTCTCCAGAGTGAAGGGCAGGCAGGCCCCGGCCAAGGCCTCAGGCCACACCCTCGTGTGCCAACACCTGAAATGACCCCACCTCTGCTGCCCCGGGCTAACTGGGTCAGAGCTGTAACCTGCTCTGGGGAAGGACACGGGTGGGGGCTGGTCCTGGGCCAGGACCCCGAAAGAGTTTCGCCCTGTGTGACCTTGGACAACGACCACCCCCCAGGGTGAAAGTGGGGGCACTACCCCGGGGAGCCCTCGTTGGGGGAGACCCAGGGCCCTGGCACCCCAGCTGCCTGCCGCTGTTGGCTGTCTGGCTGAAGTGTTTGAAGGTCAGGACCCACCCCTTCCCAGAACTGAAAATAAAACCAAAAGGTGTTCCTTATGAGGCTGTAAGGGAACAGATGAGCTCAACGCCACGGCATCGCCTCACCTGGCCCCACCTCTCCCACCTGGCCTCAGCCCAGGGTCCTCCCGTCT